GGCGTGGCCGGCGGGTGGATGCGGCAGGCGGCACATACGGGGCCCTGCAGAAGCGGCAGGTCTGGGTGGGGCCCGCGGGAAGCCAGCTTCGCCTCGCGAGGTGCCCTCTTCCCTCCTTGGGCTCGAGGGGAGGACGGGACCGGGACGTGGCCGTGGCTGGGCCTTTGAGTTGGGGGCACTTAACAGCCCTCCAAAGGTGAGATGGTGGCAGGAGTGTCCAGCATGGGGGGCGGGCGACGGCGGTGAAAACAAATGCCCACGGCCACCAGGTCCGGGACAGGTCCGAGTCCCCATGTGGAGGGGCGCGAGTGCGAACCGAGGCTGGTTTTCCTGGACCAGCCTGCCCCAGGGGAGCCCAGCCCACAGCCAGGGGAGCGGCTTGGAACCGCAAGGAAGACTCCGTAACCCGGTGGGCTTGAGAAGCTGACCCTCGAGGCCAGAAGCTGGGTCTGGGGTCTCCCGGCCGGTGCCGGTCCAAACCGCGGCTTAACCTTGGGCGGAACTTCGCGTGGGGGCGGGGAGGCGGCTGCGGACCCGCCGGCGTCGCTGCAGCACTTTGTTTACTGGCACCTGTAGATCTGAGGGGAAATCGGAGGCGGTTCCCAGCAGGGCCGGTCCTTCCTCCTGGCCTAGAGGGTGAGGTCCGGGGGCCAGAGGGCGGGGCTGGGCCCCAGAGCCCTGGGGGTTAGGGGGGTGGGCCCGCGTGCAAGACTGGTCCTGGCGATCTGAGACCCACCTCCCAGAAAGCCCCTTCCAAGACCCAGTTTTCCCAACTCATTCCCCAGACTCCCCATCAGACCCATCTAGTACAACGCGGCCCGCCGAGACCTTTCCCATGTTCTCATACACCGTGCGCATCCCCGAGTTCCTTAGAAATTTGTTTAAAACACACACGCTTTACATGGTATCCAGCCAAATGTTGGGAGAGGCGCGATAGGGATCTTTTTGTTACTGAGAGACAAGTGACTGTGCCTCCCCAAAGTCAAACTGGCAGGTTGTAAAATTCCCAGAGGGAGGGAGGAACCACACGCAGCCACATCCCAGGCTGAATGGCCGTGCTCCAAGTGAGCTGTCGGTCTCCTCCATCTTTGCCCCACCCACGGTTGGTCCAGCCGAGGGCGCCTGGAGCCCTGGCAAGGCCTCCCGGAGGCACCTGCAGGCGGGCACAGATTAGCTGCAGTCTCCTGCCGCTGCCTGGGCAGCAGCCTGGCCGCAGCAGTGAGGGGGCGGCCACAGGCTGGCCCATCCGGATTCTATGTGTCACTGGTCCAGGCCTCCCTCGGACTCACTGGCTGTTTGATCTGCCAGAATGGGACCAGTGAAGGTCAGAGAGAAAAAGAAATGCTTAATCCGAACAGTAAAGGTTTAAAAATAAAAAAAAATTCCTCCCCACCGTCCTTCCTCCACCTGCTTCCAATAGCCAACTCTGTAGGCGAGAGTAAATGACTTACTGCTTGACCCCATGGCACAGGGCTGCCCACCTGTCTCCCTGTACTGGTGCCAGCCACTCCCCCTTCCCCCATGCTCATCAGAAGAAAGGCACTAGAGTTTAAATCCAGGACTTGCCCTGTGAGATTCTCAGAAAGCTGTAGGGCACGAATTGATTGATTTGAGTAGTCTCAGGCCTTTGTAGGGCAGTTTTTCTCTAAAACTCATTTAAGGTAGCCATGGCTGCAGGGCAACTGGGTCGAAGAGTGATGTGGGGCAAAGAAGGCTGGGCAGGAGGGCCTGGCCCTGGGGATCTGCTGGCAGCTTCTGCAGAAAGGCAGAAGGGAGGCTGCTAGCTCAGTCACTGCATTGCATAACTGTAGGGTTGCCATGATGTGAATGGCGCCCCCTGGAGTTGTGCGGTGCCCAGACTGTATACAGGTGCCCAGTGTCTACTACTCATCCCTCCTGTGCCAAGAGACTTTACTTCCCACCCTAAGGCCTTAAGGCCCTCCACATGGGCACAGCAGTTCTCAGGTGTGTGTGTGTGTGTGTGTGTGTGTGTGTGTGTGTGTGTGTTGGGTTGGGGTTTTTAAAAAGTTCATGAAAAATGTATAGTATGAAAAAACTATGTACGTATGGACTTCAAAGCTTTTGCACCACGATAAACTTTCACTTTTGTTCCCATTTTCTCACAAACTCTTTGAAGTCCTCTGGACCATTTTCAGCTCTTTGGAAAATGGAAAATGTGCACTTTCTCACAGAAAGAGGAGTTTCTTTGGAACCCCTAAGGGTTTGCTAGAACCTTGCTCAGTCACAACCAAAAAATGGCTAAGAGTCCCCAGTTTGCCCTGGTAGAAGGGAGGCAAGCAGGAGGAGAGGCTATTCTTGGGGAAGAGGATTGAGGGAGTCGGGAAGTGTGGGTGAGAGAAATGTCTCATTAGATGGTGCTGACAGACTGCGCAGGAAGATGGAGGCACTTATGTCCAAGCGGTCAGAGAACAAGGAGGAGGAAGAATGCTTGGGGAGTTACTCCATTTGGAACTGGCCAGAGCTGGCTAGGAGGAGTTCAGCTTTGCATTCTTTCTCTGAGCACTGGGATTATAGGGAAGGCAGGATTTACCAGCTGAGTAATCCTCCTCTCCTCTGGGCACAGGGCATCGTGTGCCTGGGAAGATCTCTTCTAATGCCTGTGCCCTGCTGCCAGGCAGGAGGGACCTCATGGCAGAGAAGATGGGGAGATTGCTGTGCTGTCCCTGGGCAGTCCTGGGCTTTCGGAACCCTGCTCACCTGTGAACACCCTTCTCCCTGCACAGCTGGGTGGGAGTTGACTGCAAGTCTTTGGAACAGAGCATCCGGGGCCTTGCAGAGATGGACGCTGGAGAGGAGACAGGCCCATTACGCAGCACTCTTTAGGACAGGCTCCAAAGAGCTTGGCAAGGGAGAACTGACTGTTCTCTTTCCCCTCGGCCCTTCTCTGCTTTGTACTCCACTTCCATGGTAATTGTACTTGTGAGTGTCTAGCACAGTGCCGGCACCCAGGGGGCACGCAGCTAGGACACGGTGACTCATGGGTTGCAGGGAGCACTTGCTCTGCCAGGCCCTGCAGTGAGCACTTCCTTTCCATGCTTTGTCTCCTGTGCCCCTCAGCAACTGGGAGGTAGTTCTGGTTACATTATGTGTTTTACGGTCAAAGAAACCGAGACAGTGAAGTTGAGAAACTTACCCAGGGGTCAAATAGCTTGTAACAGACAGAGCCAGGATTTGAATCCTGATTGTCTGACTCAGCTTTGCTTTTCAGGGAACTCTGGGTTGAATGCTTAGTGAAAGTGAGAAGGAAGGGACTGAAGAATAAAGTCAGAGAACAAAGTTGGCCCTGGCTCGTGTCATATCAGCCTCCAAGGGTGCTCTGGGCAGGAGCAGCCCCTCCCAGGAGGTGGGCCAAAGTCCCCTCCCCCCCCCAGTGTCCTCAGCAATCTGCCATCAGGCTGCTCCACAGGAGGACCAGCAGCATTCCACTGTCAGCCCTCCATCCAGTAGAGTAGGGGTGCAGTGTACTGGGGGTCAGGGTCTGGCTCTGCCACTGAATGGCCAGACACATCACATAATCCCCGGAGCCTCCCTTTCAGACTGGGGGCTGAGACACTGCAGATGCGTGGAGGCACCTTGCCAGCGGGCTAGGGCAGCCATTTCAGATAGCACTCCGCTCCCCTTGAATTCCCACCCGGGGGATCGCCATTTCTGGGGCTAGCCCACACGTGCCTACGTATCCATGAGAGCGACGTGACCATGTGTTCACTAATTCACTCATTCACTGCAGCTCTGAGCAGCTGCCCCCATGCCTGAGACTCCACGGCGCTCCCCGGGGCTGGCGCAGGGATGTTACGGCCTGTTGGCAACATGTGATCCTCATGTTTATGAACACCAAGTAAGCCGGTAGCAAGTACTAGGGCCACAGGGGCTCTCTATGTCTCCCCTCCTCCTCCCCACCCCAACACCTAAACCAGTGCAAGTGTGGGGATGAGCTTGCACAGATGTTTGTGGATCCGTGTGGGTGTGTGAGAAGAACCCCAAAGTGGGTCAGAATGGATTCCAGAACTGGGATGGGGGAAGGGAGGATGAGTACTTCCTTGACCTCCTTCTCCACTCTGGTTTCTAACCCCTCTCCCACTGGAGGAGCTGCCATCTCCCACAGCGGTGTCAGCATGGGACGGGACTCACACATGCAGCATGACACTAAGCCTGGGAGGAAAAGGAGAGAAGAAGCTCTTTGCTGCCTCCAGGCGCCCAGCAGTCTGAGCAGGGGAGAAAGCTGCCCCCTACTCCATTCTTCAGAAAGTCCAAGGCTGCATGGAGGCCCAGAAGAGCTATACTACCTGAACCACAATGGCCCAGGGAGAGTACTCTGCTGTCTTCCCAGAGAGAGGACAGAACCAGCTATGTGACCTTGGGCAGCCAGTTCACCTTTCTGGGCCTTGATTTTCCCGGGGATTTAATGGGCAGACTAAACAAAATAACCTACAAAGCCTTTAGCATTCTGTGACTCTGGGAAGATGGTCTGAAAGCCTGTCAGCAGCCCCTGCACCCACAGATACCTCCTGTCCTGCCCCACCCCTGCCACAGGCTGGGCAGTCTTTGGGTTGCGGAAAAAACTTTCCTCCTGAGGAAGTCCTGTGACCAGAGGAGGATAGGGTATGTATTAGCTAGAAACCGAGAAGCCTGCAAAATGAAGCCTAACAGGGTACGGGGCAGACACCAAGCTGGGGGCACACAAACCGTCTGTCTTGCTCAGCCTGGGCTGCTGCAGCAAGAACCCCTTTCTCGGGGTTCCCAGAGCATTGACTGGCCATAAACTTACTTGGCACATGCAGGGTGCCGCCTCATGGCATCGCTTACTGTGGGCTTGGATCTCAAGAGCCCTCCTGCTGGTATTTGTGTAGTGTTTGTCACATTCCTCCCATCCT